TTCTGGTTATTATTTTAGCCGCTGCTGCACTAAAACTTCCACTAATCTCCAAAAGCAAACTGTACGCTGCATTCTTCTTGGCAGCCGCATCCTCCTACCACTTTTGCCCAACAATGTTTTCTTTTTCCTGAAGAAAGCTTTCCTGACTGAGAACATTTGTTTTGACTTTGAAGGGTGCTACCTACATGCCAGGACCCACATCTACTTGGAGCTCTCCTAACGCCTTTGGCTTTGCGGTACGTAAAGCCGTGGTCTTCCATCAGTACAAACGTGCTCTGAGTCACAGGTCCTAACTCTGCCCAGTCTGTTCTCGTTCAGCCGACAGCCTAACGCCGAGGAAACCGACTGTTTCTGTATGGCCGGGGAACATTTAAACACTCACACAGAGGGCCCCCACAAAAAGCAGAGAACGGAGCCGAAGACAAGGAAAGGGAGAGCCTGAAATTTCAGGTTCAGTTTTTCAGTTTCGTTTTAGAATAAAGGTTCAGATTAGTTCGTATTTTACCACAGACGTTTCACCCATCCTCAAAATTATGAGAAAACTCCGACGGGACCTCTAACAGGTATAAGAAATACCAAGAGGGACACCACTGCCGTAGAAATCAATCCGCTTTCTTTACTGCTTCTCTCCACCAGCTTCTACGTGCTTTGACAAAGTAAGCGTGGGGATGTACGGAGTTGATGAAAATCTTTCAAACGTATTATTTAGCTACTCACGGAATATAAATCCTTGCAGGAAAAAAAATACATGAAGCTGAATAATTTGACTTTCATCCAAATTCACACAGATTGAAACTGAACTCGAGTTATACAGGTTGGTACTCCTACCATAGGGCAGTATCACCATCACCTGGGGTTTTACTTGAGGTTGATAGAGTAATACTGTTGAAATATAAATAATTCTCACTGCTATTATTTTATTTCCACAGTTTTACAATACTGTAGTCAAGGTAGTTATACTCTTCGTCTCCAAATAGCTCAATTTCATACAAGTCACAGAATTACGATAAAAGATGCCCATTATCCACACGCAGATAAACACATGCATATACCATTTAATTCAAACACACATGAGAAAATGTCTCACCTGATTAATGGAAAAATACTTGAGCTGGACAAGGACAATAAGTGACAAAATGATATTATGAGGATAATTTTGCAGTCACTTTTTATTCCAAAAAGTTGTATTTTTGTAAACCTGACATTTCCAAAACAGTGCAAGTGAATTAGAATACAGGTGAACACGAGCTTCTAAATACAGGTGACATCAATAAGAGTGAACACATTCTTCCAACCACAAGTTCACAAAAAGAAACATACAATTTTACAATACATAAGGAGTGACATTCTAAGAAAAAGGAGTGACAATGGTGCGGATACCCTACTGAGTATGCAAACTGTGCTCCAAAAGCAATTATAGTCTTCATGCCAGTTTAATCAACGTACACTAAATGAATCAAATCCTATTTTCACATATATCCAAGAAACCCTAGCAAGTGGATGAACTTGGACAAAGGTAGAAATTAGTTCCACGATTTCCTTAGTCCTTTAGTGAAAGCAATATTATATATTCCCACACCACACAGATACTATGCTTGAAACTTGTGCAAGACTCCAAAACTTGCCATAAACAGAAGACATTCAAGAAAGTCGACACTAAATATTGCCAAACACAATCTTGGCCCAGTTGTTGCTTTCAGCAAGCCGAGTTACCTGCGCATCACGGACTCGTATGTAGGGTCCTTCCCATTCATGTATCAAGGCAGAGAGGGTTGTCCACACTGGTACGCTCGGCATTGCAAATGCCTTTGCCACTTTGAGAGGGAAGGATTGCTGAAGTGGTTTACAGGCTTGGGGTTCACATCAAGCACAATTTCTCTCTCAGGTAATCCAAGTGATTTGTGGGGGGACTTCAATTCAGAAGCTGATCCAGTATTTTCTACAGTTCGTTGACTTCCTCATTGTAATAGAGCAAATGAAAAACTAGGTTTATTCGGAAAACCATAGCTAGTATGTTCGTTAGCAACACTGGCCAGGTACCAGAGCGTACTAGTGACAGCCTCCGAGTACGCCAGCCCTGCTGGTGCTCAGGGTGAACTGATGGAAATTCAGCTCCAAGAGCAGATCCCTCGTTTTCAAATGAAATATTCACAAACCATGCTCTGAAAGGTGGCAAATGCTTTCAGCTCTTGGGAAGCAAAATTCATCCCTGTGCTGTGGGTTACTAAAACTCTGAAACGACTGCGATCTTCTTGATGTCAAGATGGAAATTAAGTGGGGTTGGAACAGCACAGGCTCTGCATTAAGTGATTGTTTCTTCAATTTTTTCCCCCCCTTTCCCTTGATCACATTTTTCGGAGATTGTTTTCTTCCTCCCCTAAAAGCAACTTCAAGAGTACAAGCCGTAAGAAGACATCCTGCACATCGCAAGCTTCAGGGCTTAAATAAAGGATCTCTCGGGTGCTAGATGACGCATTTGAAAAGATTACTGCCCCACTGCTAAGCTTCCACTTATATAGCTCAGAGCCAGCGCAAAGTGAACCTGCTGCAAAAAAAGTGCAATACCAATTCAGCAAACCTTGTCCGAGACAACTGATGACTTTGTCCCAAAATGGGTTAATGGGAGAGAACCGGTACAACGCCTTCCCCCAGCCCGGCTGCACAGGCAGCACAGCACAGAGGAGCTAACAAGCAGCTGACAGATGGGAACTTCCAGAGCCCTAGAAGCAATTTCCAAAATAATCATATGTCTAGATTTTTATACAATTACATTTATTACGATTTCTTAATTTAAAAAAACCCAGCAGATCTATAGCGCAGCTATTTCCTACACATTCTTGAAGTATATTGTGTTTTCATAAGACTTTTGGGTTAGAAACTCACTGCAACCAACCAACCGGTATTAGTGAGATTTTTTTTTTTTTGTTTGGCTTGTTTGGTTGCTTTTTAAGGAGTGGAAGGGTGCATCTGCAGGATGGTAACACTAAGTACTAGTAAATTTTATTGTCGAGCCTGACTATCCTAACTGGAACCAAGCAAGAGCCGCAAAGGAATTGAACAGAAGAACCAAAAAAAAAAAAAAAAGTATACATATAAAAACAAAAGCATCTGTGACAACAGAACTACTGAGTACCTAACAGTGATGATACTACAAATTTATGGATTATTTCAAGGATATGTCACTAATCTGGCCAACAACTAGATTTTCACTGAGTGGTGACTTGTGTTGGATTAATAGTAGACAATTCAAGTCAGAGATCAAAAAAGTCCAGTGTGGGCTCAATCAAATGGGATTTACTTTTGTTTGTTTTTTACTTTAACCAAATAAGAAAAACATTTTTACCTTGAGTCAAAAAAAAATAATTGTCCAACACAATATGAAATGCTAAATGGGTATTTTACCTTTTTAAACTCTTTTCTTTGTATACTTTAAAAAGATGCTTCAAAGGAATAACTAATCTTGGTCTTTAAAATATTGTAATGAAGCATTTTTGGCAGATCTGAAAGCACTTTTGTTTAAGAAGTGGAAATGAGGCATTTCAACTTTTCAAAGGGAATTTCCTCCTTTTTTGGATGGAAACTTTCAAATTCAGTTAAATTCACAAATAGTTTCACTTGTCTCCTGAATTATTTTTTCAGTAAATTTACTTCTTAATAATTTTTGAGGGCGCAGTTGTAGAGAGGGCAGATACTAAAAATTCTTACAGCTAAATAAATAGACTGCTTTTTTCAGCAAGTGTTTTAAGCCACTCCTTATTCAATTCATAGTTGTGAATTGATCTCACACCTAACTTAGGAATTTTTCAACATCAGAAAAAATAGCTACATCAGGTTTAAATACTAGCAAAACTGACGTCAGAAATATCACACTGTGAGGAATTCAATAGCCTCTAATACAGCAGTGCAAAGGCCATCAGCCTTCTGTTTTTTGCACTCTGATGAAGAATCTGCAGTCCACCACATGTGGTTATAACAGGATTTCGCCTTAGCAGGTTTTTTTTTTCAGATTCTGGCTTGAATGATCATTTGTTATACAAAATCTGTCAAATCACCAATGATTGTTTTAAGAAAGATAATTGAATAGACTAATAGCTTTTCTTGTCAAACGTTGGAATCGATACACTTCATCCACTTAAAAACCATCTTCTGCCTAATGGGTGCAGATAGTTAATAAAAATTGATCAATACTGTAGTAATAGCAGGCACTTAATGCCAGTGGCGGAAAAAAGCAAACAGGAATATGGACACGGTTAATTTTTTTAAATTGGAAGCTATAATGAATTTGGCAAGGAAGAGCAAGAATAAGACCTGTTTGCAAGCAGATTTCTTGGATATTCTCTGCATTCAAGTTTCCAAACTTCCAGCAGTTCTTTTACCTTACCCTTAAGGAAGGAGACATCCTGCAACCATTCATTCTTGTTTCTCCTTCACCACCTACCACAGAGCTCCATCCTTCTTTCCCTTATTTGGATTTTATATCAACATGACATTTACTTCTTATTTACACAAGTGCAAAGTACCAGTAGAATCTAAAACCAAGTCTTACAGAGTTCCACTACTTCTATTCAGAAATCCAAGAACTTTTTGAAGAAACATGGTTGAATTAATCACAACCAAGTTTCTTCTAATTCAACAAATGATTTGCTAAGCAATTACCAGTGAACAAAGCGGCAATCTGAGATCCAGTAACATCTGCACCTTGACTAAATTTCCTTCTTAATGATTGAGGAAGGATGACATTCGGTACTTGGAACACCCAGACAGGGAATCTCAAGATCCAAAGACCCAAACATTTGAACCCTTGCATCTACTTGTCTCTCTTAAAATTATCATATAAACAAACTCATGACTCATGTATAAAACTCACAAGGCAGGCAAAACGCTCATAGCTTGTAGCAATTTATCACTTGATAGCCACAGATCACAATAATTAACAGTAGCTTAAAAACCACCCTTCTTAACATTAATATTGCTCCATTTCTTTTATTTTTTTAATTCCAAGGAATTTGTCAACACCATAGTGGTTGGTCCAATTATATCCTTCTGGTATCTCAACTGTACAGTCCTATCATCAAAGTACTAGAGACTGCAAGAGAAAACTTCCCAGAGGAAAATATTCTGTGACGCTTTCTTCAGTGAGCCAAAGCAAGCTACAAGTCTTGCTACATGTCACCAAGCAAGCGTTTTCATCCTCTCTCCTTCAGGCCAGTAAAGGATAGACTCAGAAACAGAAGACTACATCTGTGTCATACTTTAGGTTCTTTAGTTTATAAATCAAACACCAAATTCAACTCAAAAAAAGAGATAGTGAAAAGACTTTGGCTTATTGCCATTAAACGGTCTACATACAACATTACCAAGCCTTGTGAATTAAGCATATGAGGATTTCAGCTACTTTTATCCACAAATCTCTCTTTTCTCTCTTGCATTGAAGTTTAAAAGTACAATAGGATTTATATATACATATATGTATTTCCAAGGATTTAGCCAGATATCAGTGCTTGAGTGAACTATATAGCTATTCAATAGAAACTATAAAACATTGATACAAATATAAAGACATAATCAATATAAAAAGCTTATATTCATAAAAAATATTTTTAGGTAACAGTCTTCCCCTGAGGGTATACCACATAGTTGGATTCATAAATATTGCTCTGCACTGCAGCTTGGTTACCAAAGTTCAAAGTTCAGCTCTTAAATGAAGTGTAAATCGCTCCAGTCACCTGACATGGCCGCAGTGGTTGCCTCAGGATATGTTCCCTAGCTTGCTGGAGTGATAAAGACACAGCATCCATGGGGTCTCCGAAAAATCTGGAGAAGATTCCTTCTTCCACATATGGAAGATACGAGAGCAGGACCTACAGGCTAGCAAGCGCATGTCACATGACTGGGCTTTAAGTTTTCACAGGCAGTTCATTGATTTTTCTGGACCCAGTCCCAACTATCTTCATTCTCCTTTCTGCTCTTTTCGGCCTCAATAATTTCTTTGTACCTCCGGCGGAAGAAGCCCATCTGCAAATCAAGAAGATATGACAGTGGTAAGTAACAGTATCATTAAATTGAAACTTACTTTGTCAGAAAACAGTGTGCAGAAAAAAATACCACAGGTGTTAATATCTAATTTCTCCTAGTGCCAACCTGGAATCATAGCTCCTTGTTTACGTTAACATAAATGAGATCAAACTGGGTCCCAAAATCTTCACGAGTACTCTGCTCCTTATAGATGAACCACTCTCGGGGAAGAGTCCTCTTATATGAAACATGATTTTTTTTAAAAACGCACAGAAAGGTATTTCTAATAAACACAGACTAGAAGAGGCAGATACAGGTTTATTGGTTTCAAATAAAGACTAACGCAAAATTTGGATCTGAACCTAAAGCCAGGCTAGCACCTGGGTCCTCAGTACATGCTGCCAGAGTTTTATGAACTGTGCTCTCAGTGTCCACGACTGCACAAAACGGCAGAGATGAGAGGAATAGATTACACCCATCTCCCAGCACCCAAATTCCAACTATCAGCCTTTTTTGTAAGAAACCCTCTTCCAGAAAAGCCAGCACGGTCTCTCGTCCCTCGCAGGTGCTCCACCACCGTTCTCAAGAGCTCTGCTGCCATTTTGCCGTACCCGTCTCCAGAAGTATCAACCCACCCCTGGGCAACCACAGGTACTTCTCTTCCTGCTGGTAATCACTCTAAGTCCAGGTCTCAGATTTTCTATTTAAGGATCACTTAATTAAGATGCTTTGGAGGAAGACAACAGCTACAGACTCCACTTTCTGTTAAATGATTTCCCTTGTCCCATTGCTACCAGTTGTGTAATCTGCAGCTCAGAACGCAAAATACAAACCTGACCCAACAAAATGCAAGGCATCAAAAATAACTCCTCCAACAAGCTTTCAAGATGCTGCAGGGCTGATAATCACTTTTGCCTATCTTTTTGTTTCCTAAATTCTTGTACTTAAAGAAATATAAGTGGTTTTCATTTCTGTTTGGATAAAAACGTCTCATATCTCTGTTTTTTTAAGTCTTTCCAATAAACAAAAATTATTTTAATAACAGACTTTGGTAAGCACTCAAGAATAACTCCTCAAACTTAGCAGTACACTATTGAGACCACTGAATCAATATTTTGTTCATCATAATTAAACATTTATGTAACTCATAGCACTCTAAACATGTTTTCTTACTCCTGCTGGGTAAAACACGATGCTTCAGTGTTCCTTTATCAACCAGTTATTGCCATCCTTTATTCCCAAATTGGCTATATGTAAGAATATTTTGTGCAGGCTAAGTTGAGCTTTTTAATTTCAGTTCTTTAGCAACTTTAATTTTCTTCAAGTACACTTCAACTCACAGGGGTCTGAAAGGCAGCTTGTTCAAACTGCTGAGGGTGCTTCTCCACCAGAGCTCCCGAAAGTCCAGGTCCCTGCCAGTGTCCCCAACTACGTCCTGAATTCAGCACGAGACCTGACACACACCATCTGCTCACCACCCCTCACCTCTGCTGCTCGACTTCTGTGCAAAGGACACAGAAGCTGTAACGTGGTCTAACAAGCCCCCTTTTGGGGTAACTGTGGACCACAGCCCTGGGGCATGCTTTTAATCTAGAGATAGGTATACCCAGCTGAGTGCATAGATGTACATTACACGCACGCCTACAACCGCTTTATAAATACACAATAGGTAGACATGCACACAAATGCCTACCATCTCAATTTTACAGAGGTCCTATGACCTTCCGGAGGCCCCCACAAATAACTGGAATTAGATCTTAAAAGTCATGTGCTCGTAGTCTTGTGCACAGACTACGGACATAGTTTCTTTCCCATCTATCGTAAGCAAAGCTTTATCTCAATACATGCAAATGCATGGATAATGGTGGTTCTGTTCTGAAAAACCACCTCACAAAAGGGACACTGTTGCATTTTGGAGGGCCATGTCTCCCTCGCCTCCTAGCACCTTGCAGAACAGTGTACGCAAGGATTCAGAGAAAGAGAATTAAAGAGTTTCTCTAGTTCCCTATTCTTCAAACTTGCTCTAGAAGTCAGATCAAGTTCTTTCTTTAGCAGAAAAATATCATTACTAGTAATTTTTGTACTTGTATCTACAAGCTATACCAGTGCAAAGGATGTATTTTGAGAAGACATCCTCAAGATAGCACCATTATAAAATCCCAGTAAAATTTCACCATTAATGCCAACATACTTCTGCTCAATGGAGACTTGAAGCCAACAGCAAAAGTTTCCCTAGATTTTCATAGTCTAAAATGGAAGTGAATTATTTTATTGATAATGAAAAACAAACCAAAACACCCAGGTGTAAGAACCTACTACTCCTCTGCTGTTCTGCCTCAGTAGGATTAATCGTAGGTACTTATTTTAGTGACAGGAATCTCCAGATACTCTTTACACTTGCTCAGGGAGCAGATGTGTTGAAGAAGTGTGTGCCATTTTTGTATTATCAGTTTTTATACCAGACCTACACGTTCTGCACATTAGAAAAGAAAATTGCCATAGGACTTTGTTTCCTGAGATTAACAAGAGAAGTTCAATTTGTAGCTTTTAAAAACAGGTTTTAAACCCTTAAGGTTTCCATCCTTCATGCAACCACATCCTTGGTACAATAAAATCCTCTCTTAAAGTTATAATCAAAATTATAGAAAGGCTTTTTAATTTCCTTGAGGGCCAAACAAACAAAAGCAAACTCCTTCCCACTGTTATTTTAATAAAAATTGTCTGTTTGTGAACATCTGCTTCAGGAATTATCTTTAAAAGTTGGTTATGATAGTTTGGTATTTTACTGTTTTGTTACTGGATACAGAACGCTTTTGTATAACTTTCGAGTAGAGCAAAAAAGTGAGCTGAAGACTGTAATAAATATTGATGAAGCATGAAATCCTACATCTAGAGGTGATTCCACTATGAAGCTATATATGTTTACTTGCTGTAAATGATGTGGATAATCTAAAATTATGTAGAGGACTTGATTTAAGTGCAAGCAAAAAGAGAAACTAGACCTTAAGGTGGTTTGGTTGTTGGTGTTTTTTTTTTTTTAGACAGTGGTCAGGGCTTAGATATATTTCCCATCCCTGAAAGGCAAGGACATGCTTTCTTATGGGATACTTTTCCTTAATGTTAACACCGCGTATTTCCACTTAGCGTGACAGAGTCCCTGTAATCACCAGAAAGGGTTTTTTTTGGTAATGGCCATGAAGAAATCACAACACAGTCATTGTCTCACAAGAGACCACACAACCCACATATCCGTCTCCTTACAATAAACTGATTTCATTAAAAATTACAGCAATATTAACCCATATGGTGAGGGCTGATAAGTGCCTGTGGCAAGCTGGAGAGAACAAGTGAATTTAACGTACAGTGAGGAGACACAGGGGTAATAAGGAGAAGGGAATTTGGATCAAAGTAGGAGAATTGATGTGACATGGGGCTGAGTATATAGAAGATCTCTTTTCTGTGGCTCATGCAAAGCCCTTAAGGGAACTTAAGGAGAAATCCTCAGCTTTAACAGGACTATTGCTGTGATCTCATTTGTGGAATGGGTCTTTACAGTGGGCCAACGGTCTCCAATCCGTGTCTCATGAGCAATGAATCTCTAACATTGTTCAGTTCTCCCAGACTTTGCTTTCCATATATACAGGCATATGTACCTGGGTGTGTGCACACCTAAAGATGTATGTATATGGCAAAGGAATATAATACCTAAGTCTAGAGCTGTGACTCCATCATGCAATCGGTGAGTTCATACCCCCTCATCCAGGGAAAGGACTGATGACAATATTTTGATCAATAAACCTCTGCCTGGGGAAGGCACTCATGAGAACATATGTACAGGAGGCAAGGAGACAGTACCGTGGGAAGCTGGAGGATTATAATGACAGAAGAGGCATCAGCCACCAAAGACAATGCAGGAAATGAGAAAAGTGAACTGCAGTCAGCATTTCAGAGCTAGGTGAAAATTGTTTGGGAAGGCTGAGGAGCCCTCTTGAGTTATGGGCCTTTCGGGTCAGTGTGGCTGAAGGAAAGGTCTCAGGAGCGGGATGCTGCTCAGCATGCACCGTGCTTTACTCTTAACCCTGGCAGACCTCACCGGAGGGGAACTGCTACGCCAAGGGCACCATGTCCTACTTTGTTCCTTCTGTGTGCAAACACAGAGGAGAAAGAGGGCCACTGAAGACTTTAGGAATACAGGGACAGTCCCGAAATCCTGGCGCTATCAGTGTCACTCACAATGGATTCACGTCCCACGCCAGGGAAACGAGAAAGCATCTGAATTGTCTGCGAGTCCACAAACTGTCACGTTTCACATCTGCCACGATAAACTGCAAAGATGTCTGCTTGCTCTTCAACAAGTCCAAACAAATTCAGGCAGAACCAAACAAAATGGAAAGAAAAAGCTGGCCTGGTCTTTACCAGAAGTGACAAGCGATAACCAGTCTTTTCTGGAGGTGCTTCAAGCAAGTATCAGAGCTGCTATAAATAGGTGGCATAGATTGAAAACCTGAACGCATCCATAGGTTTTACCCACATCCTTTAATTTCGTTATTCCAGCCCACGTACCCTTTTCTAGCATAACCTTACTGCCATCTACAGTGTATGCTGAGCAGAAAGCATGTTCCTGGCAAAACTGAACAATAAAACAACAGAAAATCTGTGTTGTAGGCTGGGGAATTACACCTGTTATCGTGAAGTTATTTCTTGCCATGCAACAGCACTGTCAAGTCCTCTATTCAATCTTGAGTACTTAAAGTCTCTTCCACTAGCTCACAACACTCCCTTTAGCTGTCATACCAGGTTTAAAACCCTTTAAAATCACAGATAAGTCATATCTAACAACATTTGCATAAAATCGCATTCTTCAAGCACTCAGACTGAAAACTTCAAAGTGATTTCAAAGTGCTGAATTAACATCACAATAAATTATTGTCTTCTTTTCTGCTGCTATTTTCTGCACATCCAAAGGCTTATCATTGGACTACTTGAATTTATATTTTTCT